TAAAAAAAAAACTAATTATAACTTATCTTTTGTCATTTTAGAATTTCTTTAAGCTTTAAAATTAAAGATAAGTTTTTATGAAGAAAGGAAAAGATATGAGATTTTTTTTTTTAAAAAAAATAAAAAAAAACTAACTAATATTACTTTTTTGTAAATTTTGAAGTTTTTCAAGTTTTAGAATTGAAGGTAAGTTTTTATAAGAAAAGAAAAAATGCATTAGAAATTTTTTTTAAAAAAAATAAAAAAATTAATTAACATTTACTTTTTTTGTAAATTTTAGAATTCTTTAAATTTTGAAATCAGAGGTAAGTTCTTATAGAAGAAAGGAGAGTGTAAGATTTTTTTTAAAAAAAAAATAAAAAAAAAAATAAGAAAATTAATACTTATCTTTTTGTAGATTTTGAAGTTTTTCAAGCTTTAAAATGAAAATAAGTTTCTATAAGAAAGGAAAGGATATATAGGAGGGAAATATTGACTTCAAAAAATTTACTGATATATTCCATTAAAAATGTTAATCAATAGGGCATTTTTTTATAAATTTTGTAAAAATAGTATGTTTTATCATTGATTATTAATTTTTTTTTATTTTATTATCATTATTAATTATTTATTATAATTTATTAAGTGAATAATTATTAATTAATTATGTGAAAAAATTTTACTAAAAAGTCTATAATCAAGAAATTGAAAAATTAAATGTAAAAAAATATGTATTATTATAAATGAAACTACTAATGCTTGTAAAAAAGTAGCAGTTAATGTAATTTTACTTTTAAGAATTAAATAAAATTAATATATTATTTAGTAAATAATATAACAATATTACAAATAATTTTATTTTTACTTTAAAAATATCAAATTCTTTTAATGATATATTACTTTTTATTACTGATAATGCCAGTTATATAATCAAACATTTAAAAATTAATACCAATTATGTCATAATTGAAACATAACAATTGTCTTGCATATATTTTGAATTTACTTGAGAATATTAGAAGAATTTTCCTTTTTTTCAACTCCTTAATACCATTACTTCAAATATTAAAGGTAGTTTTATTTATAGTTCAACAAGAAAAAGAAGATAGATTAGCTATTTTTCTACAAATGCTATTAATAATCCTTCTTTACCACCCTTTTTTGAAATTTTAGTAGAAAATTCTAATCCTAATATTATTTTACCATTATTATCAGTAAAAACGCGTTGGTTTAGTGATTATATTTTACATATTATACCATTTTTTATTGAAGAAGAAAAATTGGATAATAGTAAAGCAGTTTGTGATTTAGTAAATACATTTTAAGATTGGATAGCAGTTTTTAATTTTGAAATTATTGCTCTTTTTATTAAATAATGCAAACTGATAAATGAATTTTTAAATTAATTATTGAATTATACAACATTAAATTAAATTATTAATTAACTTTATTTTTATTTTATTTGTTTCTGATTTAGAATTTTTTAAAATCAAATAAACTTTAGCAGCTTTCATTGCCCATCGTGTGAACTATACTCAAGCTGTAAATAATTATAAAATGTAATTATAATAATATGGAATTTAAACCTCATTTTAAACAAGCACTCGGCGTTACCTTTATTTAGAGATATTCAATGTTTTGATCTCCAGTTTATTTGATCAGGTCACACAATCTCATCTCATTATCAATTCAAAAACTCCGTTATTATTGTCGCGTTATATAAGCTCAGAAATTTCCGTTCTTCTCGATTCTACAAAAATATTATTTCACTTCTGATTTCGTAACTGTTACCTCTCGCGTCATTCAAAGAAGATTTCCTTACGAGTTAAGTCATTTTTCATATATAAAGTAGAGTCAAACGCACCAATGCTTGGTTCTAAGCGTTGCGGGATAATCACTATGACTCGTTATACAGATTGTATTTGTAAATGCTCTTAGTGCCTACTCCTGGGCCTCATATTCAGTATACAAACAAGTATCTACACCCGTATGGTCTAGCCCTTCGACCGATGTTTGGACCGGATAACCATTATAACTCGCTACTTGTGGTTTCAATGCTCTTTCTTCCATCGTTACAGCTCTGATTTCATAATTATCTTCCATATGTCAGCAGTTTTGGAATTAGACTATCATAACAACCTCTTTTTTTATTTTTATTTTTATT